CGAAGAGAGAAGAGGGAAAAAGAAGAGAGGAGAGAGAGAGAAGAGGGAAGAGAGAGGGAAGAGGGAAGAGAGAGAGAGAAGAGGGAAGAGAGAGAGAGAGAGAGAAGAGGGAAGAGCGAAGAGAGAAGAGGGAAAAAGAAGAGAGGAGAGAGAGAGAAGAGGGAAGAGAGAGGGAAGAGGGAAGAGAGAGAGAGAAGAGGGAAGAGAGAGAGAGAGAGAGAAGAGCGAAGAGAGAGAAGAGGGAAAAAAGAAGTGCGGAGAGAGAGAGAAGAGGGAAGAGAGAGATAGAAGAGGGAAGAGAGAGAGAGAATAGGGAAGAGAGAGAGAGAGAGAAGAGGGAAGAGGGAGAGAGAAGAGAGAAGAGGGAGAGAGAAGAGAGAAGAGGGAAGAGGGAGAGAGAGAGAGAGAGAGAAGAGGGAAGAGAGAGAGAAGGGGGAAGAGAGAGAGCGAGAGAGAAGAGGGAAGAGGGAAGAGGGAAGAGAGAAGAGGGAAGAGAGAGAGAGAAGAGGGAAAAAAGAAGAGCGGAGAGAGAAGAGAGAAGAGGGAAGAGGGAGAGAGAGAGAGAGAGAAGAGGGAAGAGAGAGAGAGAAGAGAGAGAGAGAGCGAGAGAGAAGAGGGAAGAGGGAAGAGGGAAGAGAGAAGAGGGAAGAGAAAAGAGCGAAGAGAGAGAGAGAAGAGGGAAAAAAGAAGAGCAGAGAGAGAGAGAAGGGGGAAGAGAGAGAGAGAGAGGAGGGGAGAGAGAGAGAGAGAAGGGCGAAGAGAGAGGGAAGAGGGAAGAGAGAGAGAGAGAGAGAGAGAAAGAGAAGAGGGAAGAGAGAGAGAGAGAAGAGCGAGAGAGAGAGAGAGAGCGAAGAGAGAGAGAGAAGAGGGAAAAAAGAAGAGAGGAGAGAGAGAGAAGAGGGAAAAAAGAAGAGCGGAGAGAGAGAGAAGAGGGAAGAGAGAGGGAAGAGGGAAGAGAGAGAGAGAGAGAGAGAGAAAGAGAAGAGGGAAGAGAGAGAGAGAGAAGAGCGGAGAGAGAGGGAAGAGGGAAGAGAGAGAGAGAAGAGGGAAGAGAGAGAGAGAGAGAAGAGGGAAGAGGGAAGGGGGAAGAGAGAAGAGGGAAGAGAGAGGGAAGAGGGAAGAGAGAGAGAAGAGGGAAGAGAGAGAGAGAGAGAAGAGGGAAGAGGGAAGGGGGAAGAGAGAAGAGGGAAGAGAGAGGGAAGAGGGAAGAGAGAGAGAAGAGGGAAGAGAGAGAGAGA